AAAAAGTGCAGCAGTGGAACGCACTGGACATGGATGAAAGTGAAATATACAACTTGTGGGTAAAGATGGGAGGGAGGGAATTGCAGAGAATAAGGGGACACTGTATGAAAAGAAATGTACTTGTTACCTAACTTATGTAAAAGTAACCCCACTCTTCATCACCTCAAAAATAACAATAAAGTAAAAAAAAATCATGGCAAAACCAGTAAATAAAATCTTGATATTTCTTTTTTGCTTGTTTTTGTTTTGTCTTGCTTGAGGTTAGATTCAAAATTACCTACTAAGTGCTTAATGGCATTTCAATATTCCCTAAAACTTTGAATCCATTTTATTTTTAGCAAATTAAACTAATAAAAGTATTTGAGAGGCAGGGAAGTTGGCTCAGTGGTAGAGTGCTTGCCTCACATGCATGAAGCCCTTGGTTCGATTCCTCAGCATCATATAAGCAGAAAAAAGCCGGAAGTGGCACTGTGGCTCAAGTGGTAAGAGTGCTAGCCTTGAGCTGAAGAGCTGAGGGACAGTGCCCAGGCCCAGAATTCAGGCCTCATGACCAACAACAACAAAAAAAATATTTGATAAGCTGGAGTGGAGGATATAATTCAATGGCAGGAGACGGAATTCTATAGAGTTCACCACAAATACCTATTTGGTAAATTATAAAAGCTTTAAACTGATACATTGTACTTTTGTGTATGTGTCAGTTCTGGGACTTGAACTCAGGACCTCATGCTCTCACTTGGCTTTTTTACTCAAGGCTGGCGCTCTACTACTTTGAGCAATAGTTCCACTTTTGGCTTTTTGCTGGCTAATTGGAGATTTAAGAGTCTCATGGACTATTTTATCCAGGCTGGCTTTGAACTTAGATCTTATAACTTAGATCGTCCTTAGATCTTAGCTTTCTCAGTAGTTTGGATTATATATGCATGAGCCAACAGTGCTGGGCATAAACTGCACTTTAAATGTTACAAACTATGTTAAATTAGGTTGGTTATACTAACTAATATTAAAACATGATAGCTGGTTAAACTACTGGATTTATGAAGTTAAATAAATTGTTACAAAACAAATCATTATGAAAAGGTTTATGTTATGCCAAGCAATAGCAAGTAATTATAGATGGCTGACACGCTAGCTAGTAAAAGTAAGACATTTACTTGAGAATTCTTCTGTCTCATGACAGCATTATTGAGAAGCAAAGTGTTTCTATATCCTATTAAAATCAAATTGAAGAGGAAAAATAAAGAACCCCAAATATAAAAATTTTTTGGGTCCAGTTGTGGGGCCTCAACTCTGGGCCTGGGCGCTATCCCTCAGCTCTTCAGCTCAAGGCTAGCACTCTACCACTTGAGCCACAGCTCCACTTCCAGCTTTCTTCTTTTTTGCTTAATGTGGTGCTGAAGAATCGAACCCAGGGCCTCATGCATGCAAGGCAAGTGCTCTACCATGAGCCACCTTCCCAGCCCCCATATAAAAGCTTTTTTAAAAAAGGTATGAGCTATCTAGGACACTAGATGTTACTAAAAATTAAATCTCAATAATAATTTTAATTGTCTGAGAAATAGGTATTTTTTTGAAAAACTCCCTAAAATGGTTAAAATTTTGTAAAAGGTTCTTTTCATCATAACATCAACTCAGTTACCTGGTCACATCACTAAGCTGGTCTAAAGAGTGGTGGTTCTTTATGGAGTAGAATACAGAAGGAATGCTTTTAAAAAAATCTCTCAAAACAAGTCTATACAAAGGGATTTAAAAAATGTTTTAATTGTAAAAAGATCCCAACTTGGGGCTGGGAAGGTGGCTCAGTAGTAGAGTACTTGCCTTATATGCATGAGGCCCTAGGTTCAATTCCTTAGCACCACATAAACAGAAAAAGCCAGAAGTGGCGCTGTGGCTCACGTGGTAGAGTGCTTGCCTTGAGCTGAAGAGCTGAGGGACAGCACCCAGGCCCAGAGTTCAAGCCCCATGATGGACCAAAAAAAAAAAAGATACCAAAATACTTAATCAAAATAGTAGCATATTTTGTCAAAAAGACCAAAAGTTATTTTAAATCAAAGTGAACACCTCAATTTAAAAAAATTATGAAACTCATGTCTCTCTTCACCTGTACTTATTAGGCTGACTGCTAGAAGCTGATTACAAGTTGTTATTTTATACATCTTATACCATCAAGTATTTTCCACAAAAACCAAAATCTACTCTATTTTACTTTTACTATATGAGTACAGTATAATGAAATGAGATATAATCTAACTTACATATTTGGGGGCTATGTTAATTTTCAGGAATCTTATATATATCCTCAACTGTCAGTCCTCTTAAGTCAGTAATTCTGATATGATTCTCAGATAACCTTCTACATTAAAATTGCTAATATAGTGTATTCAGCTTCATTCCAAATCTGAAATTAGTTTACTAAAGAAAAACAAAATCAATGACAAAGAGAATCACTGAAAAATCCAAAAATACCATATTCCTCTAAATTCTCTTGAGTATATTCTGCTATTAAAATTGTGACTGCACTCAATCACTGAGTTCAGGCCCCAGGACAGGCACAAATGAGCACAGACAAACATACACACACACACACACACACACACATACATACATACACACACACTTTTATTAGTTTGATGTCACTGGTTTTCAGAAAATGTGAAGTATCATATGATAACTAAGAATTTCTTATTTTTCTTTTCACTAGGTAGCTAAGGTTGGCCTCACTCAACCTTTTAATCCTCCTGCCCCTGCCTCAGAATCCAGAGTGCTAAGGAAGAAAAACCACTGTTATTATATTCTATTACTAATTTACATTCATAAAATATAGATTATATACCAATGAACATGGAAATATGTACCATTCATACCAAGAACATATACAATAAATGTTTACCAATCAATGTAAAAGGGCATTCCACTAGTGGCTCAATCAGGGTATGAATCTCCATATCCTCTAAGTGATACTATTGCAAATTGTACTCTTTCAAGAGTGCCAAAAGATAGTTGATTTGCATCACAATTCAAGTTTCCATAAAAAAATGTACATTATAGGAAACTAATTTTTGTGAGAGCTACTTTTCTGACCTTAGCAGCTTGTGAATCAACTGTTCTTAGAAGCACAGCTATTTAGATACTTTACCATTTCTTCATGTGATGTAATCTTAAGGGATTTAGTAATTATGCCATATACTCACATAAAACAGTACTTCTTCACATGCTAAAAAGGCTTTCTCACCTGCCTCTTGAATATCCATAGAAATCAGATACCCAATTTTAGACTACAGGTGTTGAAAGCTCTGCTGGTCACTTTTAAGACAATAATAATCTCATCAATAAATTGAAAAGATATGTACAAGTAACTGGGGAAACATTAAAAGGCAGGAAAGCAACAAAAAAACACTAGTCCATCCTAACACAACATAAAGAACTATGCAGAAACTGTTAGAAGACTTTATGAAAGCAAATGAAGAAGGAAAACACAACTTTTGAAAAAGAAACAAAAAGGACAAAGGCATTGGCAAGCCAACAATAAATGTCCCAGAAAATATGTCCTGAATACTAAATTTAATTTTTTTATTATAACAACACAAAAGACATTTGGGAAGCCTATATAAGATTTATTTTAAGATTACCAAGTTACTATTACTTCAACTACCTATTTTTTAAAAGCTGATGCCCTAGATAAAGTCTACTATAATCAGAATAACTAGCCTCTCTATTTACTTAGAAATGCTCTATTTAAAAGTAGGCCAACAATAGGAACTCTGCTATTGCACAACAGAGAAAGTAAATGAAATAACATTTATTAACATTCAGTGTCCATGGCATGTTCTCTCATCTCCTAGAACACACTGTGACTTACACTGTCTTCCCTGAACAATTACCACTTCTCCATCCATGCAGTAGCTTAAAAAAAAAAAAGAAAAAGTTCCTGTGTTAATCCCACAATAAACCTTAGTAATTCTCACACCACAGTAGTTGTAAACTGTTGGTAATAGAAAAAGAATGCTCTCCCCCACCAGAATAGCTACATAACACTAAGTTAAATTCCTTAATAATCCTTTTACAAGACTCCTGCCAACTTTATTTTGATACATTAAACATGTGAAGCTTGACTTGAAAGTTCTTTAAACTGTGACTTATCGAATCGGCTTCCTGGTTGTTTATATTTTTTTTTAAGTTTTCGAATTGTTTGTAGAAGATCTTGATAGCCTTAGGAAGCATTTTGGCCAATAAGCAAACGTCCTAGATCAGCTTAAAATGACATGAGAGGTCACAAAACTTCAACAAAACAAAGAAACAATTCTTTGTAACCTTAACTGGGTCTTTTATTTTTTTTTAAAAAATAGATTTCAGTGTTATATTCACCCTACGCTTAATAACATAATCTTATTTGTAAGGAGTTACAGTACATAAAAAGAGGCTCACACATAATGCTGTCCCTGTTCTTAATGGGTCTCCTGTAGATTTGGGGTAGACTGATGATATAGCACTTTCAATTAAGAACTTCCCAGTTAAGAATGACATCCTAGCAGGGTGAGACAAGCCGGGAATCGGCTTACGAGGAAGAAACACGACTTGAACGCAGTAAGGAGGCAGGAGGTGGTGAGAGTCGTGGGCAGAAAATCGAGAAAGCTTTTAACAAGTGAAGCGGAGCGCAGAGCGGGGCAGAAGCTGACGAGGAAACAAACGCGGAAAGGTGGTGTTTTCAAACAAGGCAAGCACCAGGAAGGAAGAGTCATGGACCTGGAGAGAGATGCTGGCGGGACCAAGCAGGGCAGGGGAAGCAGTCGACTTCCAGGCGTCGGAGCAAACTCTATTCTCTCCCCCTCGAGAGCGGAGGCGGTGGTCGGGCAAGGGGCCTATCCCGAAACCAGGCCCAGCGTCCCGCTCCCCGGCTCCGCGAGCCGAGGCAGGGCAGAGGCCCCGGCTGCAGCCCGGTGGCATCCGAAGACGGTCCGGGGCCTCGGCGGTGCGCCTCGACGGGCGCCCGGCGGCCTTACCTGGGGCGAGGGAAAGAGGCGACGTTTCGGGCGTCTCGCTCGCGCCCGCGCTGAGTCCCCCGCTGCACTCAGCCCGGGCTTCCACCGGAGGCGCGACCCTGCCTCAGCGGCCGCTTTGCCCTCGAGATTTCGGCCACCGCCTCCGCGGGCTCCGGGGCTGTTTACGCCGCCCGGCCCCTCACACCACCGCCGCCACCGCTGCCGCCTTCTCTCCACCCCAGCGCCGCTGCCGACTCGGCCACCGCCACCTCCTCCGCCGCAGCCTCGTCTCTCTGGAGCATCTTCCAGCCACCGAACACTGAGAAACAGAGACTCCAGCCGCACCGGCAGGAAACTCCCCCGCAAGTGCCAGGGGGACCAAACAGTCAGAAGACCGGTGGCTTTTCCGCCATTGAGCAGCAGCCGCACGGCTCCTTCTGCAACGCCCTCCCCGCACCCTGCCCTTTCCCCGCCCCTCACAGAACCCCGCCCCCAGAACCCACCCGTTGGGCCGTCGCGCGTCCTTTAATCGCCTGCGATTTGCTGAAAGGCATATCAATCTTCACTCTCCCACCCAGTTCGGTTCCCCAGGTGCCTCCGTACTTCACTTTGCCCGCCCACACGGCCCCGCCCCCGAGTCTCTAATTTCCCATTGGGCACCAGTAACCACCTTCAATTGGCAAGGTCAACTATCCATCAAACACCGCCCACTGAGTGAGACCCAACCTTTCATTACCATTTACTTGATTCAGCCCCGCCTCCGCTATGTTCTAGCTCCCGGACGTCACGGACCAGCCCACCCTACCAGCCATAAGTAGAGCCTTCCGTCAGTCAAATTACGCCCACCTGCGCTCAGCCTCGCAGAGACCCAGCCCCAGCCGTTTCCCTGTCTTATTGGTTCAAATGGTGGCTTGAACCCACGGGCATTGGCTTTCTGTACGTGTCCGTCAATGAACCAATTTCCAAGTCCGCCACACTGGCTTTTTTTCGTGTTTTTAAATAAAACGCGCAAAAGGCGGGGAAGCATCTGAAAAGCAATTGGATAATTTTCGAAGATGACCAAACCCAGAGCGTCTGTTCAGATCCGTCCTGTTCTTCCGAGAACCGGGCTCTCTTATCTTTGACCTCTAAGCCTCGAGTAAAACAAACGCCATGTAGGAGCCAACGGGATGTCCAGTTATAGGTGTGGAGGCTTAGTCCCACCCGGAACTGCAGGGGTCTGGTTACTGATTGGCTTACAAAGTACTCCTTAGCCCCTCATTGGAGGAAGTAAATGCCTCTCTTCGGTGTGGAGACGCGGAGGGATAACGCAGCCCCGGCGGACAAGAATCGAACTGGCAAGAAGTGGTTGTTTTGATTTAGCCACGGGTGGGGCGCACGAACAGTGCACGCGGGAGAGGGAAACTGGGGCTGGCCGGGCTCTCGAGGAGGTGTTTGGGAATGAGAGAGGCCCGGATGTTTCATAACAATGAAATCATTACTGACCAATCAGAACCGCCGGTCTGGGATACCTGCCCGACTCGTCTCCTGGAGGAGAGAGAGTGGGCGGGAAATTGAGGTGTCAGAAGAGGCAGAAAAACTATTAGAGAAAATGGGGCAGATAATCCCTTCAGAAGGCTTCTGTGACGTGGAAGATTATTTTTATTTCTTCTTTGTCCCCCACTTCGCTTTCCGTGTTTTGTTTCTCAGCATTGATTTTTAAAACTGCGGCTTTGGTATCCGACGTTCACTAGATCATCCCACAGTTAATGAGCGACGGCTGCTGTGTTAAGCTGGAGATACGAATCCAAGTTAGGCTATGCAGGTTCAATGTTTAAGATGGTAAATGATCGTTCAAACTTACGTGGGGAAGGTGATAAGAAGGATTTACTAAGAAACGCTTCACAAAACTAACCAAGAAGATGATTCCAACAGGCAGATGAACGAGAATCCGGCAATTCGATTAAGGTGGAAGGTACTATCAGGCTAATTCCCAAAGCTAACAAAAAAGTGTAAGATAAACATATATATATATATATATATATATATATACATAAAATGCAAGTGCTTTTAACTTTATTCATACTTTTGGTGTTAATTGCTTTGGACAGTTAAGCCAAGAGTGCTAGGTAACTATAGAGAAAAGGGCAAATTTAAGAGTAGGACATTTCTGGCCATGCAGAAATCTGATTGCAATACAGGTTTTGTTTCCTTTTTTTTAACCTACTAAAGTTTGCTTTGGATGGTATTCCTTCCAGCATGGTGAATAAACAAACAGCATCAGAATCATAGGGATATAGATTCCTAGCTACACTAATGCCCGCAAAACCAGAAAAGTCCATGAGACTTTTATCTCCACTAAACTACAAGAAAGCCAGAGGTGGAACTGTGGCTCAAGTGGTTGAGCACTAGCCTTGAGCACAAAAGCTTGAAATCAGTGCCTGGGCCCAGAATTCAAGTCCCATGGGTGGCAGGGAGAAAAAAAAACACTAAAGGATGAAAGAAGGCCTAACAAGATTTACAACGTTAAAAAGGGAAACTGGCATGAATCTAAACACATAATATGTCATAAACATTAATTATCATAATAGGATCTGCCACTAACTAGTTGTATGACTTCCACAAACAACTACACTCTGAGTTTGGTTTGTCCTGTAAAATTGGAATCATAACTTCCTCTAGAACAAGTATTGCCGATTTTTTAAATCTCTCACTTTCATAAAACTACAGCATAATTTCTTAAAAATATTTTTCCAGGGGCTGGAAGGTGGCTCAGTGGTAGAGTGCTTGCCTTGCATGCCTGAGGCCCTGGGTTCAATTCCTCTGCATCACATAAGCAAAAAGAAAACACCCAGAAGTGGTGCTGTGGCTCAAGTGGTAGAGCGCTAGCCTTGAGCTGAAGAGCTGCGGAACAACACCCAGGCCCAGAGTTCAGGCCCCACGACCAGAGAAGTGCAACTAAGGACTGTATCCCTAAATATCCTGGAGATTTGGAGATTCAGCAAGAAGTGAGCCACACATGCTGAAAAATGACCTTAAAGATCTGTAAGAAGCCAATTCCTTTTTTTTGTCGGTTGTAGGGCTTGAACTTTAGGCTTGGGCACTGTCCCTCAGCTCTTCAGCTCAAGGCAAGCACTCTACCGCTTGAGCCACAGCACCACTTCTGGTTTTCTATTGGTTAATTGGAGATAAGAGTCTCACAGACTTTTCTGCACAGGCTGGCTTTGAACTGAGATCCTCAGAGCTCAGCCTCCTGAGTAGCTAGGATTACAGGCATGAACCGCCTGCTCCCAGCAGAAGCCAGTTCTTGATGGTGCCTGTGTATCACACTTACTACTCAGGAGGCTATGCTGTAGAGGTCTTAGTGTAAAGCTGAGCCAGAAAAGTTCACTACATTACATCACCAAAATAACTAGCAAAAAACAAGTCTGTAGGTATGATTCAAGAGATATCGCATAAGCCTAGCAAATACAAGGTCCATTCCTGAAAGAAAAAAAGTCACTCTACTGCAGAGTATGTGTTAATACTAATTTCATCATTGAAATCGTGTTTAAAATTTTTGCCATCCTGAAGAGTACAGTCTTTTAAACTTTTAAACCATGTCATATTAGAAATTTGTTTGGCAATATAAAGGGAAAACCTTAACTGAAAAACTAAATGTGCCTGATAATAGGAGTGATATTTTCTTACCTAATAAAAGGTTGGAAAGTAGGTGCTAGATCAGTGCCTCCACAATTAGGGGTGGTGACTGGAACTTCATTTAAGATACCCAGGTTCAAGGCACTAAGAGTGATAAATCACATGACCACCTTAGCTGCAAGGGAGGTCAGGAAATGATGGGATTGACGTCATGAATTCCATAGGGCAGAAATTCACCAAGCCTCAGCATTACCTGAAGGAAAAACCCACATTGACAAACTCTCCACCGTTTCTTATTCTGTAGGGTTCAATTGGTGCCTGAGAATTTACATTTCTGACATGTTCTCATAGTGCTTTGGTAATAGGGACCACATTTTAAGAACCACTGGCTGGAGCTGCAGATGTAGTGTAGTCTAGAAAACTTGTGAAGTATTCATGACATCCTAGGTTCAATCCCAGCACCACAAAAGAAAAAAAAAAGGAAAGATGGAAGGAAGGGAGAGAAGGAGAGGGGAGAAGAAAGAAAAGAGACAGTGGCTTGGGCTAATCATGAGCCTGGCATTGGTATATAGCACCCATTGCCACATTAGCATTTTTAAACACTTTCACAGCTATGTTTCTGTCTTGTCTTGCATAGGTGAGAAGAAAGCCAAGAAGAAGTAAAATCAAGGCTCCTAGACTGACAACCAGTTGGGTTTCACATACCCAGCTCTCTTTCCAGAGGCTCTGAGATACCAAGGCTTCATGCTTTCTAGCCTCCCTTAAAATTAACGGGACCAATGTAATGCATAATACTTCAACTGAAATGTATTCTTCAGGTAATTCTTTCATTGTATCATGAAATCAGTGGTACACTTAAATTTGCAATATTAAGTAGAGTTTAATAAAGTGACTATTTCCAAAAGTGCAAGCAAGGTAGAGATGAACCATAAGGTTTAGTACCCAAGGGCTAGTTACTGGGGATCATGGCATGTTGTGCTATCCTTCTATCAGAGAGATGAGGGAAGGAAGGGATTACACACACTTGTTGATAGAATGGGCTTTGGGCAGAGGGTTTCCTGACAACAACTCTTGACCAGCAAGTTAGCATAACCTGTTAGCATAACCCATTGTCTAGCTGAAGTCAATGGATCAGGAGGCATCTTACTATTAACTGTACAAGTCACAGCACAATATGGAGAAAGATGAAAGAGCAGTCTGGCATTTAAAGGAACAAGAAGTACCTAGCACGCACATACTTGATTTTTTGAGGGGGGGGCAGCCTTGAGTTTGCTAGGCAGGCCCTTTGAGCCATATACACACCTATATTTGGATTTTTAAGTCATTTATTCCTAATTGATCTTTTTCTATAGTTAAAGGACAATTAACTTGTAACAAAAAGAGAAATGTTTAAATTTCTAAATCAGAGTTCTCAATGTATTAGACTAGAGACCTCCTAAATATCCATAAGCTAAAAACAATCTTCACAATAATACTAAAATATAGTTTGCCCATATCCCTGTCCTTCTCTTACAACTACTATATAGAGTTTCCTGGAAGGTATATAACATGATATTGTAACATGTCAATGCAAAAGAATATATATGAGAATCTAGATGTCTTCTGTTAGCTATCAAAAAGATTTGTAAAAATTTAAAACAAACCAGGAGCCAGTGGCTCACACCTGTAATCCTAGCTACTCAGGAGGCTGAGATCTGAGGATCACGGTTCAAAGCCAGCCCGGGCAGGAAAGACCATGAGACTTCTATCTCCAATAAACTACTAGAAAACTGGAAGTGGTGCTGTAACTCAAGTGGTAGAGCGCTCACCTTGAGCTGAAGAGCTTGAGGGACAGCGCCCAGGCCCAGAGTTCAAGCCCCATGAACAACCAAAAAAAAAATTAAAACAATGCCT